TTGTACTGGAGCTTCGTACAAGGGTGGCTAAAATACTGTGCCCTGATCTCTGAAATAAGTATTTAATAAATAGACTACCTGGACCTCAGAAAAAGAGATTGGAAGAGGTTCTGATGTGGGGGCCACTGTCCTCCTCTCCCCCAGCAGGACATTGACCTTTCTCTTTGATGCTCAGGAGACTATACTGCAAGGCTCTCCTAGGTCTACAGAGGGCAGAATAACTGATGGGAGCAAATAAATTGTTAAGTGAAATTAAAATGTAAACAAGGATTTCTCATCACTTATGTCATGGAAAGAGCCCAGAAACAAGTCAGGTCCTCCCCTGGGTTTACGGACTCTTCACCTTCATGGAACACTCCTTGATGATCAAGTAAAATGTTAGGAGGTAGATAGTAAGTAACCTCTGTGGACTTTCATTTGTTTTGTATAGGAGTGTCTCCATTTACACATGGTCTCTAGACATTGAAGATGAGTGTTAGGATGAAATTATTTTAGATTTTATTGCATTGACAAGGGAACTCTTCTCTTATCCTTTTTATTCTATGGGTGCCTTGTTACCATCCTGCCCCATGGAACATGGTGTGACTCCATAGTTCTGTGCTAAGCTGAAGTGCTGGATTGGAACCAGCTTGGCATTTGCCTGTTTACTGCTTCTCAACACATTGCAGCTTCCTGACTTCAAATAGTTTGAACAGACCAAAAACATGTTTTTGGCTGTCATCCAGAGTTTGGCTTCTGCTTCCCAATAATGCCATAAAAATGCTCTGTCAAATAAATTCTCAGGAACTGAAAAGAACAAATTCCCTGCTCCATATGATTGTAGATAATGGAGGCAGGCTTCAGGTGACCACATGGCTTGGTGCCATGGCTCAGGAAAACTAAATTGCAGAGCATCTCTTGGCAGTGACTTCTAGAGATCATAGTTAATTCTCTGCATGTGATGGATGGACTTTCCATTTAAGGAAATTTGCACATAGCCTTTATCTCCACTGGGGCTTTTGGAGTCCACAAAATAGTGTCTTTACATCTCCTGCCCAGTTGCCAATTAGTGTAGATTGTGAAGTTTTTGAGCCTAGGATCAATTTTCTGTTGAGTTAAACTTATAGTAATGAAAATGGAAAGAATCCTTCTTTTAGTGTGTGTGTGTATATGTGTTTTGAAAGCAGTATTTCTTTTTCCTTGAATATTATAACATCCTTATTCAAAGACCCTGCTAGAAAGTGATAGCATATTCAAATTAGGGTAATTTAGGGAGAGTTTACTTACAAAAAGGACTATTTTAAAAGGTGCAAATGTGTGGGGGAATGAAAAGGGTTGGTGTAGTAACCCAGCAGAGCTGTTACCACTCCTAGAACAGAATGGAAAAAAGGAAGGGGTGGTTATCAGAACCCAAAAGAAAGAGGCACATGGAGAAGGCTACCTTCAGAATGACCTGCAGTGAGACATAGGTGGCCAAGCTGGAGCAACCCAGCAGCCTAAGGCATTCACTCTCAGGTTCTTCTCTCCCAGCAGGGCCCGCATTGACTGAACTCAGTCAGAAGCCCGGAGGCAAAAGGGTCACACACAGGTTTGGCCCTCAGAGGTCAGTCTCCCAGGGTGGAGGGCAGGACTGACAGAGTGAACTGGAGGACAGTGGAAGGAATCTGTCACAACCAGTGCAGGTGCCCAGTTATTGCTAAGACAGGTATAAAATTCTCAATGGAAAACTAACTTTTATTTTTAAACATCTTTACTGAGATACAATAAACTGCACAGACTTAAAGTATACACTGTGATAAGCTTAGACTTACATATTTACCCATGGAACCATCACCACAATCAAGATAGTGAATTTATTCATAACCCTCAAAATAAGCCCACTTTAACATATAAGATATTCATGTGGTTCTTTTAGGAAAGTATGGAAAGGCATCATGATACCAAGCCATAGTAGGTACTTTTCCAAAAATGTTGGCTCTGGAAGCATACACAAAAATAAAATCTAAGACCGTGGCAAAGCTGTGATGGGCTGGGGCTGTAGCTCAGTGGTACAGTATTTGCCCTGGGGCCCACCCCCAGCACTGCAGGAGGGAAAAAGCTTGTGAGAAAACTTTGATGCTAGCTTGTGATAAATAAGAAAAAATTGTGAATTTGAAAGTTCTTTTTTTGGGTGGGGTTTTTATATATTGTTGCCAAATATTTAAAACAAAACAAAAGTCTGTGACTCTGTCTGGTCTGAGGATTTAGTATCTGAGTCTGCGAGATGCATGATAAGTAAGTGTTTAGACAATTCCAGCAGAACTGAAGATTCCAGTGGGCTTCGTTTGATGTTCACAGGCACGATGACCATTAGGCCCAGCCTATATGCAGGGTCATTGTAAAGCCACCATCCTTATAGTGCTGGGAGGGGCGATGTGTTCTAGATAACATAGCTTACATCTGTTACCATGGCCATGGTGGAGTGATTAGTATGTACCTGATATTTTATGTTACTCCTTAATCCTTTCCACCACCCCAGGAGATAGATCATATCATCTTTCTTCTTTTGCAGATTAATAAGATTAAGTCCTAGAGCCTAATTTACCAAGTCGTTGAAGTTAGTAAGTTACTGAAGCTACTGTCTAAGGTTATCCGAGCTAGCAAGCAATAGAGCCAGGATGGGATTTAAATACCTGAGATTGATACTGTTCTGCTTTAAACTACAAAGTAAGTAAATCTCTGGCAAACGCATTTTTTAAACCACTCATTAGCATCAAATTGCTTGCTACCTACCTTCAGTGGATGGGGGCACCTGAGAGTCATACCTGGGTTGAGAACTGGCACTTCCAACCTTCATTGTTCCCAGAGCCCTGGGTATTCTAGGGGAATCAGGAGCTCCCAGTGCTAGGGGACTGGTGTCTGGTGCAGGCTCACTTTGCTGCTCAGCAGGGGTGCAGTGTCATCTGTTAGCAACAGCTGTCACCAGGCCACACTGGCTTTTCTGCTGGTCTTCAGACTTGCCAGCCAAATTCAGGTCTCAGCGTCTTTGCATTTTTTATTCTTTATGCCTGGATAGCTCTTGCCCAAGATTCTTCAAGCCTCCCTCCCTCCCTCCTTCATTCTGCTGACTGCTCAAGTGCCTCTTCCCTTCTCAAGTGTCACCTTTGTCACTATCTCTCTCTCCTACTTTAGTTTTCCTCATACTAGTGGTCATTATTAGACAAAGCATCCATTCTCAAACTTTTTGGTCTTAGGATCTCTATATTCACTTAAAAATTATTGAGGATACAAAGAGGGGAAACTTATCTGAGTTATTCCATTCTAAATTTAACATAACAGACATTATTTGAAAATTTTCATTCAGTGAAAACCAACAAAAATAAATTCATTATATGTTATTACATATAACTTACAAAAAGTAGCCATACTTTCTAAAACAAAGTAATTGAGAAGAGTGGCATTGTTTTCCATCTTTGTACATCTTTGTTATCTTTTCTGTTCATAGATGATGGCTGTGTGATTACACAGCCTTTGCCATTCAGTCTGTTGCAGTGTATTGTTTTAATAAGTCGATGAAGAAAATATGGCTTCACACAGATTTGTAGTCTCCTTTTTTATGGAAAAGGGAGGGATATTTTAATTGCCTTTCCATGTATAGACAGTCCCCAGTTTATAATGGTTCAACTTATGAGTTTTTAACTTTACAGTGGATCAAAAAAAAAATGTGGGTAGATAACCATTCTGTTTTTCACTTTCAGTATAGTATTCAATAAATCACATTAGCTATCCAACACTTTCAAAGTAGGCTTTATGTAGATTTTGCCCACTATGCTAATGCAAACACATTTAAGTTACGATGTGCAGTAGGTCAGGTGTATTAAATACATTTATATTCATTATATTTTAAATTGATGATGGGTTTATAGGGATGTAATTCCATTGAAAGTCAAGGAACTCCTAGATTTGTGGACATCCAATTTTAATATTATACTAAAACTTAATAAGTGGTTGTTTCTTAAAGGTTAGTTGTATGTGTACACTAGGCATGCTTGTGTTAGCTATTCCCAAACAGTAGTCAGAGGGCTGTTTGGGTTTTTTTTTTTAATCTTTTTTTGGTGGTACTGGGGTTTGAACTCAGGGCTCACACTTGCTAGGCAGGCACTCTACCACTTGAGCCACTCAACCAGCCCCTGTTTTATTTATTTATTTATTTTTAAGGAAAAGCTCATCACTGTCTTTTAAGATTGTGGTTTACAGAAAGTAGATTATGAAATATGAACAAAATATGAATTATCATTTTCATTATACTGTTAAAATAACTCCTATAAAAATTCAGCCAGGTGTGTTCACACACACCTTGTAATCCAGCACTCAGGAGGCTGGGGCAGGAGGATCAGCCTGAGCTACATAGTAAGACTGTCTCAACATGAAGGGCTGGGATGTAGCTCAGTGGTAGAGCACTTGTCTAGCATGTGCAAAGCCCTTGATTTGCCCAGCACTGAAAAAAAAAATCACCAAGTCTTCAAAGATTACAGAAGTCCATGGTAATCAAACACCAACTTCTCATGTGCACAGGAATTGCAATACTTTTTCCTTGATAGACCCACATACCTCATATTTATTGCTACTTTTTTTAGGAAGTAAAAACTTGAGTTAAAATGATTTCTGACATCGTGCCTTGATAAATATTTGTTGAAAATGTCTGTTTGTTGGAAGGCTTCTTTTTTGTTGTTTGTTTTGTTTTGTTCTTTTTGAGACAGGGTCTCCCTGTGTAGCTCAGACTGGCCTCACACTTGTGATCCTCCTCCCTCAGCCTCCCAAGTGCTAGGATTACAGATGTGCACCACCCCACCTGTTTGTTGGAATGCTTTTATACATCTTTTCCAGTTCTGTGTATGTTCTTTACCTTGCTGGAGTGAGACAGTCCTTGAGCCAGAACAGAAATAGAGGTAAACCCCCAGATCAACAGATATATCCAGTAAACTAGACGGCCACAATGTTTCTATGTCATTAATCCATAATTTTGTGTTTATCTCTTTAAGATCCATACAGGTTTACAGCATGAAATAATTTGGCCCTGTCAACCCAGTTGTGTTCCTCTGGATGAAAAACTCCTGCCCCAGCTTCTAAAAGAAGCAGGCTATGCTACCCACATGGTTGGAAAATGGCACCTGGGAATGTACCGGAAGGAATGCCTTCCAACACGCCGAGGATTTGATACCTACTTTGGTAATGGAAATGCATGTTTCTTTGACAACCCAGACTAACTGCAGCCTTCTCATAAAACACACCCAGGTGTAATTAGATCAAGTAACTGGAAACTTGAACAGAGAGTGGACCAGTCAGCACCATGGTGGCGCTACCTTCTGATATTACCTCCATCAATGCAGCTCTGTGCTCAGCTCTTGGTGGGCTTGTGCCCACAGCAAGGCAGTTTACCTTTGCCAGAGCACTGAGTACCATTGCAGGGCCCGAAGAGCTTACTACTTCCAATCAGAGACCATTGTATCCTCTAAATCTTTTTATCTAAAAGGGTACAAGCTGCTTTTTATTTAATTACAGGCAAAACCTAATACAAGAATATTTCCTTTACAAAAGATTGTTGTATTTTTTTCTCTTTATGGACTGTATTTAAAGTCCCATTGCTCCTGCCCCCAGGAAGGTGACATAAGACACTGTTCCCTTGTCATCTTTCTCCTATTTGAGAGATCTGTTTTTGAGATCACTTAGGTTGGGGAAAATCAATTTTAAAATTAGTAATAATAAATTTGGAGGGCAAATAGCAAATGATAATAGAAAGATAGTAAGAAAATAATAAGTATTTTATGAACTTGATAGCTCTGTAAAAATAAATGTGAATCCTAAAAGTTTGTCTTAACATGTGCTCTCTTTAAACCTGTTATACACTGTGCTGTAAATAATAACCTCTTTATCCTGCTGTATATCTTTTTGTCAAGTTCTTTTTATATTGAGCTATCTTTCTGTCCAGCTACCTACCTCCCATCTGTTTCTTCATTTGTTTATAACCTGCTATAGCCCAAAGGAGCACATATTGTACCATAAAAGGTTTAAAAACAATAACAAAATCAGGGTGAGTTGGAAAAGATAGAATAGTTTAATGGTACCAAATTACAAAAATGCTGCATGGTTCTGAGAGGAATTCCATGCAACTCTAAGATATGAGCTCTCTTATGAAAAGAGGAAGCAAGAAAGAAAAAGGAAAAGGATATAGAAGTACATTATTTATAAGAAAAATGGAAACCAGCAGTTCAGGAAGGCAAAGCATTTTCTGGCTCTTGGACTTGAGAGAAATTTCTCCTTTGGGAGAAGGTAAGGTGGATAATATCCCTAAAAATAATCGTTGTAGTAATCAAGTGGCGGTTTTCATGTAGATGTTTCTTGAGGCATTCTCTTGCATTCAAGCCAGGGTCAAAGCACAAAAATACAATTCGAGAAAAAGAATGGTATGTGGAGGCCAAAACAGTGCAGTCAAAGCACATGGCTCTGTAATGTCTCCGTGGATCTAGGATTAGAATCAAGATGCAGGGACAAGGACATCAGATGAGCATGTTTGTGCCACCTCCCAGCCAGGTGCGCTAGTAGACATTGCTAAACAGCCGGGCGCTCTCTCTGGATGGACCTTCAGTGTTCTCACATAGCTGCTAAAACTCAGGCTTATTCCCAAGAGTAAGACCACTTTGTTGCCTTGGAAGTTCTAGAGGGAAAAAGCCTCCACATTCTTTGAAATTTTTCATACAGGCCTGCCTGTGCTAAAAGATGAGTTATTTGTGCTCTGTTAAAAGGATAGACTATGGATAGTTGGAATTTTTTGTTAAAAACCCAAGCTATGTACTTAAAATGCTACTGGACAAAAGGTAGAAATCATATCCTTTGATGAGAATTAAGCCTAACCTGGACCTAGTTGAACTGATAAACATACCATATTCACATGAAGGGAAACTTGTAGCCAAGAAGTTTGCTGACTACACAGCCATCATCACTCCTGGGACTCAAGATTGTGAATACCTTAAAAACTAAGGAATTGTATGCTTTAAATGGGTGACTTGGATTGTATGTGAGTTATATATCAGTAAAGCTGTTAAAGCAGTCAGAGAGTTCATTGTTTAAAAAGTATTTTCTTGCAGAGCATGGGGGTGAGCTCACCTGTAATCCCAGCATTTGGGAGGTGAGGCAGGAGGATTCAGAGTTCAGGGCCAGCCTGGGCTATATAGTAAAATCCTGTTACAAAAAGCAAAAAGAAAAGAAAAGGAATTTTCTAATTTTTCCTGAAAAAAAGCATAGACTGCCATCATTTTTAGGTTTGGCATCTGTCACATGGTTGCTTGGCCAAGTATGTGAATAAAATAGTTCTATTTCTGTAATCCTTTTGTAATATCATTTTACTACTCAGGATTCATACATCATCTAATTAAGTATATCCTATGCATATATGCTCCCAAGTGATAGGATATAGTTTACATTAATAAATAAGGAACCCGAAGTGATTTTCTGAAACTCCAAATACCTAGTAGTTGTTAAAAACCCAAACTAGTAGTCAGTGTCCCGACCACACCAAGCACCTAAGTGATTTCCTTTTGTCTTAGACGCAAGTTAGCAAGCACGCTGAATTTCTTTTTTTGCTATCGATGTAGGAGAAAAGATTACCACATAAAAAGTTAACTTTAGATCAACATGCTAGTTATACTCAAGACCTTGAATTACTGGGTCTTAGAAAAGGAAGAATTGATTGAAAATGAATTGAATCATGGTGTAAGCTCTTAATTGTCATTATAGGGAAAGTACAAGACTAAGGAAAGTGTGAAGCCCATTTCATTACTGTTTTAAGGTTAGTAACAGTATACATCAAGAGACAGCTAAGAGCCCAGCAAAGTTATTTCTTTTTAAAGCTTTATTGAGGTGTAATTCACACACCACACCAATAAGTGCCGGGATAGTAAGCTCAAGGTCCTGAGTTCAAACCACAGTACTGTCAAAAAATCATGCAATTAAGGTGCACAATTCAATGACTTTTTAATAAATGTACAGGGTTGTGCACTATCATCACAATCCAGTATAGAATATTTTCATAACTCCCCCCAAGAAACCAAATCCTTTTAAGTCACCCCCCATTTCTCTTCAAACCCTCCAGCACTAGGCTATCAGTCACCAACTACTTTCTGTCTTTACAGATTTGTCAGTTCTGGACATTTATATAAATGGAATTATAATATGTAACACAGCTTATTTTAATACTTTAGAAAAATATGGAACATTTGTAGAAACAACTATTAGTTGAGAAAATTCATTTTCTTCCATGTTTAAGGGATAGGCAGGTGATAGCATTTAAATAGCAAAATTGAGATGACCTCAGATAGAAAAATCAGAATTCAGTGCTATGCTTTAGTTTGGTCTTTTGACTCTGTTCCGCTATTTCTAGAATCCTCTATTTGGAAAGGTTTGTATCTTTCACCAGTGGGTGTCAGCATTTGACTGAAGATAAGTCGTCGTAGGGCGAGTCTATAAGTAACCTGGAAATCACTCTCCCAACTTCAACCCTCAACCTCAACAACAACAAAGGACGTTATCTGAATCCTGTCCTCATTTATGTGATTACCTCACAGTAAAACTTATAACAAATCACAGTAACCATATATAATTTTTGCCATTAGATAGCTTTAAAAGATTGAGATGTTCTTACCTATGCTGCATTTTAAGACTGATTTCTTTTTTTAAGAAATCATATTTACATGGAAACACCCACTTTGAGAGTTATGTGATAGAGCTTATGCTCTTAAAGTCCTGAGTGAAGAATGAATTTGAATTTCTATACAATAACATTTTAATGACTTCTACCAAATATAGAGATGTTAAGAAATGTTGCTGTGATTAGTCTTGTCATTTGATTAGCCTTGTCATGGGTAATCAATTGCATTAGGCAATTAAATGCTGAAACATTAGTTTGTTTAGCAAGTTTTATGCTGTGCTGATTATTTTCGTCTTCCGTTCTTGTTGTAGGATATCTCCTAGGAAGTGAAGATTACTACTCCCATGAGCATTGTGTGTTAATTGAGGCTTTGAATGTCACACGATGTGCTCTTGATTTTCGAGATGGTGAAGAAGTTGCAAGAGAATATAATAATATGTATTCAACAAACATATTTGCCAAAAGGGCTGCAGCCCTCATAGCTAACCATCCACCAGAGAAGGTAAGTCTTGCTTCTTTAATTACATCAGATCTTGTTAAGCTAAGAAAAGGCCATTGTTGTTTAGGAGAAAAATCAAATAGATTCTAGGAGGATCATTTTCAGATTTTAGAGCACATCAAAATGAACTGGAAAAGGAAACTTGTTAGAAGTGAAGATTCCTAAATCCATCTATTAGGGTGTGATTTTGGGGGTCTGCGAGAAATCCATATATCAACATTTTATTTTATTTCTATATTATTGTACTGGGGGTACATTGTAACATGTACAAAAATTATTACTCTATATCATAGTTGAATTCACCCCTCCATCACTCTCCTTTATTCCTCCTTCCCCCATTCCTGGAATAGTTTCAACAGGTCTCATTTTTCCATTTTTATACATGAGTATATAATATTTCTACCATATTCACCCTCTTAAACCCTTTCCTTATACCCTCCCACCTCCCACTGGTACCAGCCCCCAAACAGGACCTGTTTTACCTTCCTGGCCTCTGTTTTTGAAAAAAGACATTTTTGTATAAGATAGCTCTACAGAGAGTTTCATTGTGACATTTCCACGTATATATATATTATAACCCGAATTGGTTCATTCCCTCCATTCTTCTCCTTTCTACCTTAGTCCCCTTTTTATAGTGATTTCAATAGGTTTAAAAATTCTATATTCAATCTTGTATTGAAAGTATATCAACCATATTCACCTTCTTAACTTCCTTCTTTTACCCTCTCTTTCTTAGTGGCCTTCTCTTAGCATGATCTGTTTTTCATAGTATTGCTTGTGTTTGTATTGGGCCTATCTTCCACATATGAGAGAAAACATGAGACCTTTGTCTTTCTGAACTGGCTAACTTCACTTAATGTGATGTTCTCCAGTTCCATCCATTTTCCTATATATGGCATACTTGCATTCTTCTTTATGGTTGAATCATCTATTGTGTACGTATAGCACATATTCTTAATCCATTCATCAGTAGTGGGGCATCTTGGCTGTTCCCATAGTTTAGCTATTGTGAATAGTGTGCAATAAACATGGATGTTCAGGTATCTTTATTGTATCAGCATTTTAAAGAAACTCTTAATAGGTGATCCTAATGAGAGTGATTCCCAGGTCACACTGAGGGATATATGTCTATAGTGTTTCAGTAGAAATACAGTTTTATTATTTTGGTGTTTTACGTACATGTGCTATAAGTAAATTAGTAAATTGTCTCTCTTTCTCTCTCGCTCTCTTAAATGAGTGGCTTATGTATGAGGTAAGGCTTTATTATGGCATACTTTCTGTTAAGGGATACACAAATTTTGGGCTCAGGGCAAGTCCTTTAACTTTATATTTTTCTTTTCAAGACTATTTTGGCTATTCTAGATCTTTTGCATTCCCATGTAAATTTTAGAATCAGCTAGTCAATTTCTAAGGTTTAAAAAGTACCTGTTTTGATTTGGATTGTATTGAATCTATGGTCTAACTTGGGGAGAATGGTCACCTGAGCAATATTGGGTTTCCAGTTCATGGACATGGACTGTGAGGAGCCTGTTTTCACATTAGCCTCCCTGGAGCTATTGTGTATGACATGTGCTGACTTATCTGTAGGTAAAGATAAAGAGCCTCAGCAGCCTTTATGGCCAAAGTCTCTGAATTTAATTTATAAGTGCCTTTGAAATGGGGCAGATATTTGTGTTGCCAGACACTGGACTCAAAATACAGCATTGTGAAGAACTATATTAGCACATTCACAGAATTAACCTGACATGAAATTTCGGAATGTGCCCTGTTGTCTGGTTCTTCCAATTTCCTGCCCTTTGCCTCTTTGGCAATGCCCAAGGCCCTTGCAGATCAGAGTGTGGGTTCTGGTTTACATACTTGTCCCAACTTGGTCACCTGCTGGTGACTCTCTTTTTTGGTGTGGATTTTTCCTGGCTCTGCCTTTCTTACTCTAACTAAGTATCCTGGACCTTCCATAATGTCTGCCCTCAGCCTTTCAACCCTGCTGGATTTATTACCAGCTTAATACTGACATCTCTGAGCAACCATGCCTACTGTTGAACATGAAGAAAGGGGAGCGTTTTCTCAAATATATAGAAACACATAGGTTTTAAATCTAGATCTAAACTAATATTCACATAGTTGGAATGCTAGGTAATCCACTTAGGTTCTCAGCTTTCTTCTGTATGCTTGGCATTTTATAGAAACAGCTTACGACCAAAAGAACAAGGTAAGGCTTTAAGGCAACTGTTTATTATCCTTTGAGATAGGCACCATTTGGTGCCATTTATTTAAGCAAAGTGGCTTAGAGAAGTTAAGTAACTTATTCAAGGTCACAGAGGTATTGAAAGTCAGAATCAGAATTTAAACTCACACTCTTTCCTCCAGGGCTTATGTCCTAAATCAGCTTATCCAGTCCCAACTTCTCCAGTCCACAGCTAGAGTCCAAGAACTAGGATTCTGCATCCCAGTTCATGATGCAACCCAATGGTTCTGGTCCTGACCTACTGAAGCCAAATGTTGTGATTCATTGATCTGAGGTGGGATTGGGTCATTGGTATTTCATCACCACCCCACACCATACCTTCTACCAGCAATTCTGACGGGCAGCCTACAATGTGTCATCAAGTACAGAAGCAAGAGAAAGCCAGCTACCTTTCATATGTTCATAATCTAACAACACCTTATTTATGCAGCAACTGTAATCTGCCTCATTCCTACTAAGGAACAATGGAGTGCCCCTCCTCAGGCCCTCAACATTAAGCTGGCAAGAGAGCAGCTGGGGCAAAGCAGTAGTTTGGGGAGGTTTTGTCTCAACTGGGGAAAGCACCTGGAACTGAGGGCAATGGGGCCCCAAGAACTTGCAAGCCACAGAAGGGGTGTTGCTGGCACGGAACTGCTCTTAGATAGAATTATGGAAGCCACCAGCAGAGAGGTAGTCATTTTCCTGAAGTGTCTGAAACATCTTGCAATGGTATCCATCACTCCCACTGTCCTCACAGTTTCAAACACAGACATAAATGGATGAAATAAGCAGCAGTGGATTAGAAACCCAAAAACACTTGCTTATGATAGCACATGCAGGCTATTTCAATTCTCAGTACCATGACACACTCACCAGTTTCAGGGGCTGCACTTTTCACCATCTTATTCTGACGTTTGATCTAATTCTGCTCAAGTTTCTCAGGTGCTATTTATAGATTACAACTTAGCCACTTGTTCAAAGATGGAAGTCATTAAAGAAATACTCATAAAGTATCCACAAGCCAACTAAAAATTGTGCCTATTTTAAAAAGGACATTTAAGCCCGGTGTGTGTGGGGGGAGCAGATAGAATTGTTTTGTAACAACACAGGTACTGAGGCTGGACTCAGGGAGGTACTGCTAACAGCAACTGTTAGGAAGGCATGTCCTTCCTTCTTTTCTGCATGGTAAATTCTCAGAGCAGTAACATTACAAAGTGAAAGTAATATATTCACAGCACATCTGCTTGTTAAAAATAGCCCCACAGCACTTTGCAGAATAAAGTACCATCTCATACACCTAATCTACTAGAATCTTCCTAAAGAAAACCTTAATTTCTTGTGGAAGACTCTTTTCCCTGGCACAGTTTGGAAATAAATATTTTAATTTGGATGTCAAAGATAGACTTACAATTTCAAAACTTACCATATGCTTTTTTCCATTTATAATTTAAATTTGGAAACTATGGAGAAATGGAAATAGAGCTTTCTTCCTCATATCATATTAGAGTACATATCATAGGAGCCATGTGGCATAATATGAAGGGAAAGAGCCCTTAGCATCTTAAAATATGAGCATATTAGTAGCTTTGGTGATAATGTCTGGTTTTATGTAATACTTAAGTATTTAGCCATGATTTCACATTTAGGATTCCACTTTATATTCCTTAAATACCTGAAAGGGTTACAATTAGGGCTGGGGTAAAGGCAGCAGCTATGACTGAGTTGATCAGAATAGGAATCTGGACCAAGAAAACACAAAAGGTAGATCAGGGTCCCCATAAACTCAGAGATCAGAGGAGGCTGACACTGAACCAGGACTCCAGTGTTTCAGTCAGGATGTCACTAAGGTCAGCAGTCTCTAAGGGCAATGCATGAGAAGGTTGGAACTCAAGTCCATGCACAGAGAGTGGTCATGAGCCCATCTCAGGGAAGGTGGCTGCTTGTTTTGCGCAAACTGAATTGAAGCGTTGGCTGGCAGGTGCAGGGAAACTGGCTGCAGCTCTTCAAGGAAGGGCCCTGGGATGAGATGAGTGGCTGTAGTCAGGATTCTGATGGTGGTTGGGGAACCTTAGAGCCTGAGTTAATTGTGCTTTCCATTGGGCCACCTTGTAGTACTAAAAACACTATATATACATATATATTTTTTTTTACAGTTTTAAAATGGTATAAAATGCTTCCATTCAGTACTGTTGGGGAATGAGTTGTTTTATGAGTAAAGTTCACCTTCTGAGTGCTGAAAGTTTATTTTTTACAATGTTGAATGGAAATACTAAACTGTGTTGCTTTGGTCCTAAACTCATGAAATGGGCTATACTACACTCATTCCATCTCTTCTTGGTGACCCAGAGCCATACAGATGTGTGTGGGGCTCTTTGCCCACAATAAATGGCCCTAGACTTCTGCTGCTGAGATGGGGAAAAGATAACTTTTTTGCTCACGGGATACCTTTATCTATTCTGAATTACTAGGATCTGGCCAGAGAGAGTACAAGGCTTAGAACAATCTCCTGATAGGCTAGAATTTACCTCTCAGAGGTGATTTTTCACTTCCTTTTCCTCTTCTTTGCCATGTTGCTGCTGGTCTGTATAGGGGCAGGAAAAAACTCCACCTCTGTTCTCTTGGGGTAGCTGGACCCAGAATTAAATTGACATAGGACAGATAAATAGGAGAAAAACAGTATACCTTTTGAAACTGGAGTTTTGGACCCCAGGCCCAAACTCCTGAGATACTATATGCCAAGTCTGGCTACCCACCCTAAACGCCAAATAAAGAGGCATGGTGAAGGCAGAGAAAGGAGATTTATTACACGGCTTGGGACATGCTGTGGGAAGAGATAGAGTAAGCACTCAGCTCATCTTCAGTCATCTTCAGGGTACAGACATGAGTTATAGGTTTAAGTAGATAAAGAACTGGGGCAGGGGGTAAAGGTACTCATAGTCAAACAGTCCCAGGCATAGGTGTGTTCTGGTTGACCATTAACTCAGTCTAAGGATTCTGGGAGAGATTCTGGAATTGTTATCTGAATTTATTGTCAACTGGCAGGTGGTTCATCCTGAGGAGGGTCCTCTGTTAGGGGTCATTTCTGTCCTTTGTTATGAAGATATTATCAATCATTCCTGTCTTTCCTTGATTCCAAGGTGGTTGCAAGGTGACTGCAGAGGTGATGGCTCAGAGCAAAGGCAGGTACAAAATGGAGGACAGATGCCATGCTTTTCTCTTGCTGTTTTTTAATTTGAGGGCCCAAGAAGGAGTCAGTGCTTTTTGGCAAAAGCAGTTTGAGTACCTTGTATAGTTTTACATGAAGAAACACAGGCCCCAGAGAAGCAGTTAGTCAGTTACTTATATACTAAGTTGGACAACGAATCGTAAACAGTGAAAACGTGACTAAAGCATGTGGGAGGCTTCAAAGATAAGAGCTATTTTGAAAAGTTCTGTACAGAATTCTCTCTGTTTAAACTTCCCGTCCTTCAGGATAAGGATGTGTGGTCTTCTAGTGTGGAGAGTGGCTTTCACACAGGAATTGCATCTTTTGCTTTTAAGAAACAAGCACAAGGTCACAGCAATCTTGCACCTGCTGTTTTTCAAGTGCCTTTAACTTAAATAGTCTATGTCAGAATAGCCTGCTTTAACCCACTCACCCAATAAGCAGATCTCTGTTCTTCCTCTCTCATTCCTCCTCCATGGTGCACCCTGAACAATGTTGAGACTCCGGACAGAGTCATGGACTCTCATGTTTACAAGTGTGGGAGCTCAGAAAATGGGACCCCTGAGTATTGTACTCTGACATACTGAAAACGTTGAGCTAAGGGACACAGAAGTTGCCTCAGAAGCAGGTCTTTCTGTGCCCTGTACTGTGGTCCCCTGCTGCCCTTTAGCTGCCCAAAGCAGGCCATTGGAATAGAATTCCTCTCCCTAATGCAGGACATAGAAATCAGGACTCCTTTTCCCCAAGGCCAGCCATAACACAAACTTAAAAATATTACTCTAACATTCCCTTGCCTTTCTGTGTAAAAGCTGGCTCTAAAGGAATTTTCTGAATTAACCTAGAAGGTAATACACACGCACAGGAAATTAATGTGAGTCAACTCCCTGTATAGCTATCCTTATCTCAACCAGCAAAAACCCTTGTTCCTTCCTATTATTGCTTATACTCTCTCTACAACAAAATTAGAAATAAGGGCAAAATAGTTTCTGCTGGGTATTGAGGGGGGGGAGAGGGAGGGGTCGGAGTGGGTGGTAAGGGAGGGGGTGGGGGCAGGGGGGAGAAATGACCCAAGCCTTGTATGCACATATGAATAATAAAATAAAAAAAAAAAAAAGAAAAAAACATGGCTTGAAGGTCAAAAAAAAAAAAAAGGAATTTTCTGGCCTACCCTCCTCTCACAGTAAGTTATAAGACTCATTCTTGGGGTCCTGCCTCATATTTGGGAGGAAGAAATGCTACCTGAGAGAAATCAAGAAGAATCTCAGCAGTCAAGCTTTTCTTGGTTTCCCCATTTGGTCCACTGCTGTCAGGTCGTTATCTTTTTGTGCAATCATGCCTCTACACAGATATCCCTGCTTCACAGAATCCAAGTGTAAACATGGACAGATTTCCCTGTGTCTCTGAGTTGTCATTCTGAGGGCTCCGGAGTCACATAAAACTTCAGATAAATTTGTTATGGTTTTCTCTTGTTCACCTGTCTTTTCTTATGGAAGTGGCTGCTATAACCCTTATGATGAAGGAAGAGAGAATTGTATATTTTGTGTCATTACTTAAGGGTCAGGCTACTCACCGAGATTAGTGAAGCAGCTTGGTGGAACCATAGGGAGAGCCTAGAAAATCCAATAGCACTGGGCGAGGGCCGGGGGTAATTTCTTATGTTCCTGTATTTTGTTAACAGATGGGGTGTAGACATGGTGTGATCAGTAATTCTGAGCTTTCAAGAAAAAAAATTAAGCAGATTTTTTATGTGATGTCTTCTGATTTTTAAAAACATTTTATGTGGACTGCAAATTGTTGTAGTCTGCAGAGTTTTAATCCTGTCCCCATCTAGCCCTTGGCTAGTGGCTGGAGTTGGCTCAGACTTGTGCTGAAGACCCAGAGAACTGCTCCCACCACCGAGCCATGTGCACATCCTTCCTTATCACATCTGGAGGGACACAGGAGCTCCAGTATGACTTGTGGGGTTGGGGTAGCAAGTGTGTGCATCAGGGTGGAAGGGAGCAGAAGCAGAGCTAAGTAGTGTCAGAGGTTTGGGTACAGACTTGAGGAGTGGGAATCTGCAATGTTTTCCCATGGAGATGATGTACAAATAAAGGCATAGGTTCTATGTTATCATTTTATTCCATCATCTACCTCCTTAGTTAATTGGTTTTAAAGTAATGCCTTTGATATTTTTTCCATCATTTTTAACATTTAATTTAGGGGAACATGTGTTTCTAAGTTCTGAAAAGATCTGAGCCACAAATAAACTTTTGAGTGTCTACTTGAGGTCTATTTATGGGCGGTCCTCGCTCTATCACAAGGATGTATAATATGCCATTTAAAGCAACTTATCAACAATAAAGAATGAAATATGAGTTCCTCGCAACTGTTTTTCTTCCATTCATTTATAAGATTTAAATGCCTCAGATACTTTAATGGAGTTATGTTTATTCCTGGATTGAACCATTTGTCTCTTTGAGGGTTTTCAAACCATTGGAGAATTCTATCAGAGCACAATGAAGAGCATGCCTTCAGAAAGGCTCACTAGGCAAGAAGGGTGGATCTGGAATTCCACTGATGTCAGATGCTGAAAACTAGTGTAAGAGATAAAATAGAACCAGTGGATCACACTTATTGGTTTCTAGGAATTAAATTAGTCTTACATTTAGTCCTGCATCAAAGACTAACAAGGCATGGGGTATTCCCTTGTTTTCCCATAAAATATACCAAAACTCTGCAATCCTCCTCTAAAAGGTGAGGACTTATTTTAGCTAAAGCAAAATACTGAAGCATTTTTTGGTACATATCCACATTGTAATAGTAGGGTTTCCAATAGGAAATTACTCTTTACTTAAGGTGGGCTTGGATAAGTCATACAACCTTTTTAAACCTCAACTAAAATGTAATGTAAAATGAATATAACATATGGTGGCTTTGAGTATTAAATGGGATAGAACAGTCAAATTATTATCAGAGTATCTTTCACATAGACAACATTTAATATATAGTTGCCATTATTGGTATGATTATTCATTGGATCAAAGCTTTCTAAGTCATGCTAGGAGTCTTGACTTTTTGTGTGTGTGTGGAGTCTTGTTACCTTTTTGTGTGTGTGTGTAGTCTTGTTACCTTTTTAAAACCTTTATTGAGACATAATGTATATAACATAAAATTCACCCATTTAAAGTATATAACTCAATAGTAAACTCAAGAATTGTGCAACCACCACCACAATCTAATTTTAAAATATTTCATGACCCTCAAAAGAAACTTGCACCTGCTAGCAGTCATTCACCATCCCTTTCCCCACAATTCCCTACAGTCCCAACCAACCACTAAGCTACTCTCTGCCTCTGTAAATTTGCCTATTCTGGACATTTCATATAAATGCAATTATACAGTGCATGGTCTTTTGTGATTGGTCCCTTTTTAAGGTTCATCTATGTTGTAAGCACACTGATTCTTTTATTGCCGTGTATTGCTGTAAACATTCCCTATTTTATTTGTTCATCAGTTAGTGGACATTTGAGTTGTTTCTTCTTTTGGCCATTATAAATAATGCAGCATTAAACATTTGTGCAAGTTTTTGTGTGGATGCATGTCTGCATTTCTCTAGGAATGGAAATGATGAGTCTTATGGTAGCTGTGTTCAATAACTACATGAACTACCAAACTTTTTTTTTTTTTTTGGTGGCACTGGGGTTTGAACTCAGGGCCTCACACTTGCTAGGCAGGTGCTCTACCATTTGAGCCACTCTGCCACCACTGTTTTGTGTTGGGTTTTTTCAAGAAAGGGTCTTGCAAACTATTTGCCCAGGCTGGCTTCGAATACTGATTCTCCCGGTCTCTGCCTCCTGAGAAGCAAGGATTATAGGCGTGAGCCACTAGCACTCGGCACCAAACTGTTTTTTCAGTGGTTACATGCATCATTTTACATCCCTAGTAGCTGTGAGTGATGGTTATAATTTCTTCCCATTCTTATCAACATTATTGTTATTTTCCCTTTCTAAATTTATAACTATCCTAGTGGGTGTGAAGTAGTATCTCATTACGGTTTTGTTTTGCATTTCCCTGATGACTAATGAGGTTGACCATCTTTTCATGTGGTTAGGACCATTTGTACATCTTTGGAGAAATATCCATTCAAATTCATTAAGCAGTGGGGCATGATGGAACACCCCTATAATCCTAGCTACTTGAGAGGCAGAGGCAGAAGGATTATGAGTTCAAGGCCAGCTATATCAAAGTTAGGGAGACCTTATCTCAGAAACAAAACATAAATGAAAGGACAGGGGTATGGCTAAAGAGGTAGAATGCTTGCCTAGCATGCACAAGGCTCTGGGTTCAATCCCAAGCACCACAAATAAATAAATAAAATCTTTGCCCATCTCCTAGTTGGGTTAATTGCCTTTTATTATTGAGTTGTAAGAGTTATTTCTATATTCTGGATGTGTATTTCTATCACATTCATGATTCATAGATATTTTAAGTGTACTCTGTAGGTTGTCTTGATATCATTTTTTAACTGATAACTCTGATAACTGATAACTTCCATGCCCTCTTAACTGGTATGCACCCCTCTTTTTCCAGCCTCTGTTTCTCTACCTTGCTCTCCAGTCTGTCCACGAGCCCCTTCAGGTTCCTGAGGAATACCTAAAGCCATATGACTTTATCCAAGATAAGCACAGGCATCTTTATGCAGGAATGGTGTCCCTTATGGATGAAGCAGTAGGAAATGTGACTGCAGCCTTAAAAAGGCATGGGCTCTGGAACAACACAGTGTTCATCTTCTCCACAGGTAAGTGTGTCAATAGGAAACTCATCTCTTGGTGAGGCCTAAGACATGGTGTTCAATAAGTAGAATGAAGATAAATTGGAGCAGTTAGCAGTTCCTTATTAAAATAAATGCTAACTGCAATCAGGGAGACATGATCAAATGGATAGAAAGATATGTCTAAGGAAAGAGAACTATGTACTTCTCCTCCTTCCCTTCAGGTATCAAAACGTTTTGGGAGTGTGCTTGAAACAAGCGCTTACTAACCAAGTAAATACGAGTGATCGCCAATCATCCACAGAATAGTGGCGTGCTGAATCGCTGGAGCAGCAGTAGTTTGTTTTCAGCTCTCTACCGTGACAATGACTGCCACTAACTAGGGGATCTTTGTATCAGTGAAGAGACCAATTGTGATATTATAAAGACAGATAAGAAATGGAGCCAATTAAACTTAGGCTGGAGGCTCTAAGTATAATTTTTTTGTATTAAAATTGTTTTATAAAAAAAAAGGTTACAGTGGCCAAAAAATTATTTTCTAACAAAAATAAAAATCATGCATGTTGATTATAGAAAAAAAGAAAACCAGAAAAGAAGGAAGAAAGAAAATTCCTAATTTTGTCACCCAGGGATAATTTTTGAAAATCATTTTCATTATGGAAGTGCCTTTCTGGTTCCTAACATGTTACATACGTGATTCCCTCCTGCCCATTGGACAGTTTTCTAAAATTTTTCTATAATGTATCTTGGGTACAGATCTTTGCTTATTCATTGTGCTGAATACTCAGAAATCACTTTCTATATGAAAGTGCAGAGCGTTTTCTAATAGGAAAATTTCTTGTATTATTTATTTCAGAATGTTTGTCCCTCCACCCTGCTTCCTCCTGTATTCTCTTTACAAAACTCCCCTGGCTTGGATAGTAGGTCAATCTTCTAATGTTCTTATTTTGTCTCCTGTTTTCTTTATACTTCTCCTTCTATTTGGAAATTTTTATTGTCAGTATTATGTGAACTTTCTATTAATTTTCATTATCATGTTTTTTAATTTCTAAGAAGTCTTGTTTTCTGATAGTTCTTGGTGTCAAGAATGTACGGAAGAAGGGTTGGGGGCAAGGCTCAAGTGGTAGAGCACCTGCCTTGCACGCTGGAGGCCCTTGAGTTCAACTTTCCCCAACCAAAAAAAAGATAAAAAATGTGTGGGAAGAGGTGGAATAAATTTTTTTCATGATATGTGAGAATGAAAAACTATTTCAAGATCAATATTTCCTTTGTTATATGATTTCAAATATGTATGTATAACTATTTTTAAAGAGAGCTATTTCTTAAACATCTGTAACATTTTGTAATATTTGAAGCTTCTCACTGAGAAAATGAAGATTATCTTATAATAGGGTTGTCTTTTATTCTGGCACTAGGATATATTAACAGATATGTTAATCTTAGGCCATCTATGATTCTTCAAGCATAGATCATTCTATGTATTTTTATACGCCTGTCAAATTCAACTTCCTAGGACTTTATTTAGGATTTTTGCACTAATTCAAAGGTGAAAGTAGGAGTAGTGGTTTCCTTTTTCTCTGTCAGGTTTTGTCTTGGTTAAATTCACTTGATGAAATAATTTGGATGTTTATCCGTTTTCTTCTATGACTGGCAATGTTTCCCAGAATGTTTACAAGCTTTCTCTGGTTAAGCTGCTCCCTGGAACCTTCTTTGGAGACATTTTAGAAAGTTACCTCCATAGTTTAAATATTTTGCTTAAATATATCTGGGTAAGGGTCTTTAAAATATTCTAAAATTAATTTTGCCTGAAATACAGTGAGCCCTTTAATCTGTATGCTGATCTTGTTCTACACTCCAGGAATTTTTCCATGTTCATATTTTAGCTTATTACTTTTGCTCTGCTTGATTTATTTCTCAAGAGAAAAAAATCTTTAATTAGTAGGTTGAATCACTGACTCAGGAGTTTTTCATCCTTTTGCTGCTTTCTATCCTTTTTCTCAGTCTTCATTTCTTTGCAGCCTCAATCAATTTCTTTTTCCTCTAAGCTTCTTGGTAATAATAATCACTACTGCTCATTGAATCTGACTTTGTACCCAGGTACTGCCCCAGTGTTTTCCCCGTACTTTTCTCACTGTTGTTCATGGTGTAAACATTGAAAGATGGTCAGGTAACCTTGTGGAATAGCTCCCAATCCTCATTTTACCAAGGAAGAAACCAAAGCTTCAAGAAGTTAAGTGACTTTGGCACACATTGAACAAACAGAAGAGCCAGACAGAATTCAGCCTAGATCTACCTGAGGTCCATGTCTACTTATCCTAATTAATCATCCGTTCGTGTTTGATCTTTTCCTTTTATCTCACCCTGTGGTCCTTTTTCTCTACCTTAGGCTTTCTGTACTTCTGTTCCCAAACCCATCCTTTCTCAGAATCTTTCTGAATAGAACTTTTCTAAAATATTCATTTTTGTGCTAAATCATTGCCATCTATATGTTCTTCCTCTGAATATAAGCAATGAAGTATCTGCCTACATGGAATTTGAGGCCATCTCTTACCTGTGGTCATTGTCCCCTGATTAATTCTTTTTCACATCTCTGACTTGAGGTCAGATGGATGCACACAGCTCACTGAGTTCCCTGTGGCTATTAGGTAGTCAGTGACCCTTACTCTGTTGGACCTGATTGACTTGTTCTTTTAGAAGGATGTTGGTAAAGAAACAGCACTGGTGGTTATTAGGAAGACACTATTTTATCCTGGGCTTATATCAGCACAGCTCATCTTTCTCCCTGCTAAACTCCAGGAATCTGACCCTGAGTAAAATGAATTAAGATGAGAGCCAGTTCTTAAGCAACTAGGTCATGAGTTAAAACTGGGAAATCTGATGCTTGAAACCCTGAAGCGAAAACAGTGGTTGATTTCAGTGTTTTAATGCAGCCATTGCACATTTATATGAAGTCTGATCAGAATAACCAGTTTGCCTTACATTCAGCTGGGGGTTTGACTCTAAAGAGAAACCTCATTTGCATTTATTTTTTCCAGAGGTTTTTCTTTTCTTTTTTTTTTTTCTGTGTTTATTGACAATTCATTGCCTGAAGTAGAATTTAATAATGTGATTAAACCCAAGGAGCAAGAACCTGTTCTAAAATCAGAGCAGTGGTTCATTTTTTTTTTCAGCAGTTTACTCACTTCACTTAGCACTGCTTGTCTTTATAAGCATAAGAACGCTAGATGCATACAAACAGTGAATGTTCAGTATGTTAGTACAGAAAACTGGAGTAAACTAGCTTCTTGGTATTAAGCTTATTCTTTAGTAACAGGGAGGGGCAAAGGCATAGATTTTAGGTTCTGATGTTTTGAAAAAATTCCTTTTATAATCTGAGCGAAGTTGGACTCTTAACACAGACCTACTGAATCAGAAGCCCTGAGGTCCATACATAGGAATGTTTAATAACAATTCAAGTGATTCTTTTGTATACAGAAATTTGAGAACCTCTGGCTGAGGTAACTGTTACACACACACACACACACACACACACACACACACACACACAAGTCTACAAGAAACTAACATATGGAGTTTGAAGTTCAACTTCTCCTGGGTACTTTTATTTCTAGAAATAGACTCTTTTAAAAAGCTAATAAGAAAAGCTTAAATTTAATTATCTATTTTTCATTCTGCTCTCCTTACTGCATATAAATTATAACCTTGATTGATTAATGCTACTCTTTCTGTAATATGTGATCAATACTACTGTTAACAAATATTGCATGACCTGTTTTACATTCCTGTCCTTCACTGTTTAGGGGTCTGTTCATTGTTCAGTGGGATTTGTGCCTTGCTGTTTTACCTATAAATATATTGTGCTTAAGTCAGTCTATCCTCTTTCACTGCACTTCCTCACCCTTTTCCCCCATTCTGTGTTGTTCAACAGTTTTCAGTGTGTTTCACTGTGTCTTACTTCCTACATAAATGTGGTGCATTTCATTATTATCCATTGTCTATCATCCTGACTTTTTTTCTTCCTCCTTTCGTTTTCTCTAATAGTCCCACTTTTGGAAACATGTTCTCTATATAGCTATATGTATATATGATAATGCTTGAATTTGTATTGGATCTGTCTTCCACATATAGAGAAAATATGTGACCTTTGTCTTTTTGAACCTGGCTTACTTCACTTAAGATGATGTTCTCCATTTCCATCCATTTACCTGAAAACAAAAAAATTTTATTCTTCTTTATGGCTGAATACAATTTTATTGTATATAAATACCACATTTTCTTAATCCAATTACTAGTTGTAGGACATCTTGGCTGTTTCCATAGCTTGGCTATTGTGAATAGTGCTGCAGTAAACACGGGTGTGCAGCTGTCTTTATTGTAACCTGACTTACATTCCTTCAGGTATATCCCTAGGAGTGGTATTGCTGGATCATGTGGTAGTTCTATTGTTAGTTTTTGAGGAGCCTCCATACCATTTTCATAGTGGCTGTACTAATGTACATTCCCACCAGCAAAGTATGAGGGTTTCTTTCCCTCCATATCCTTACCAACATTTGTAGCTGTTTGAGTTCTTGACGGTAGCCATTCTGACAGGAGTGTGGTGGAATCTTAGTGTGGTTTTGAGTTGCATTTCCTTTATGGCCAGGATGGTGAGCATTTCTTCATGTGTGTTTGGCCATTGTCAGTGCTGGAGCCAGCCTTGCTGGAACCATCGCTCCTTTGGCACTAGATGCATTTGCAGAGAGCTGGAAGGAGTGCTGCCATGACCAGAGTGCTCCAGTAATCCACAGAGCAGTGGAATCCCAGCCCATGGACTCACATTGCACTTTTCTGGGAGCAGGAAGCATCTAGAAATGTGTGCGAATGGTTTGGGAAGCTGCAATGACTTAAGGGTGAAGTTGCCATTTAAGAAAATGGCACCCCAATGCTCAGACCTGCCCTGCACAATGGCAAGGTGTCCTGCCCCAGAGTTCAGCAGCACCACCATTGAGGAACACTGGATGTTGTTGAATAGCACATTTCTGCTTAGA